TTAATCATCCACATGGCCCTATATTCTCATACTTAGAATATTTTTATCGCACCGGGTCTTCATTGAGGTGGCATGTACCTCTTCCAGACTTGGTTAAATTTTCACTCATTCGGCCTTATTGGTGAGGCGGCACGGCCTCTCCGTTGATTTAGTAGCTTGGGCTTAAAATCAATATCCATAAGGCCCAACTTAAACAACATTAATTGTTATAATGGGTGTGGCCTTATAAACTCATTAATTATCTTGTAACTCACCAATGTGGTACAAGACAAAAATGTATAGTGTAAACAAATGCCCCCCAACTACTTAGTGCATAAGAATTATGGACTAAGTAGTTGAACACCACCATGCTAGCGAAAGTAACAAGATGGCTAGTGTCTACTCAACACACCTAGTTCGTCCTTAGTCAAAATTTGGCTTTCACGTCAAGCCAACACGGTAGGATGGTACTCGACGTCAAAACTTGTCTCATGCCTTTTAATGGTCAAGCCGCCTAATGCATTCAACGAGATACCAACTTCACTTTATCACCTACACCCTCATTGACATCTCGTACTTGGCCACATGGTTGAGAGAATAACTTAGAATTTTTCGCACCTATTTTGGCATAGATTGGCTCATCCCACCTCGTCACAAGGCTAGACAGTTCCCTCGCGACAAGTCAAGCCGTCTACTTTTTTGCCTTAGAAAAAATAATGTTCATTTTTTTATGTTGGTAGAGACATTATGGTCACCACTCTTCTACTACCACTTTCAAGCCATCATGCCCCCCAGCCGTGGCTACTCGGGACAAGATAACATGGCATGGCATGACCTGATGTATGGCTCGTCATGTCAAGCCATCACAATAACTTGGTGGCAAGATCTTCATGTCGAAGTCTAACAACTCCGACTCAAGATTTTCACTTTGATATTTTCCTTCTATCTTTTCTTTTAGCCATGGTTGGCTACAATATTTCTTTTATAACTAATATATAATAAGTACATTATATAAATTTATTTATTTTATATGGCAAGAAGTGACAAATGTCACTGCTCTCCATAGCCTTTGGCAACAATCAATGTACCAAAGGTGTACACCCATTGCCAAGTCCATGGATTAAAACATGCAAGCCATCCATATACCACATGCTTCTTTTCCTCCATGGAACATGATTCTCCATACATTAATTTTGAATCTTCTAGCTTACCAGTGGGTGGTATATGATCAGCATGTCTAGCCTTGGTGGCCTTGCATGGGGCCTCCTGCTCATATGCTTTAGCCACATCACTTGACATGTTAAGACGACCATGGGTTTTCCTCTGCCTTGGTTTCCTCATGGTTGAGACATGCTTACTCTCCTCATGTTGTTGGAGACGATGTCCAGTCTTGACAAGTTGGCGACCCCCCATGTGGCCCACTTGATTTTGTCTTTCAACCTCCAAACCTTGTTGGCTCCTACCCTTAGCACACGACCATCTTTGGTTCTTTGTGAGGCCATGTCTGGTTTGTGTGTATGATACCTTCTTATACATGCCCCTATGTCCATCATTCATGATTGATGGCATGTACTTACTACTCATGGACATGGACTTGCCCCCCTGTCTACACTTAGCCAAACTTGCGTACTTATCACAAGCATGTGTAAGTTGGAATTCTTTTAGATTCTTGGACATGCCCCCTACTCCATTATTCATGGTGGGTGACATGCCTCCTTGCTCATACTTAGCTAAATTTTCAACACTACGAGAACTCTTTTTGGCTTTCCCACGTCTTTTCTTGTTGGACTTGACCCCATGTCCACTATTTGTGATTGGTGGCGTGCCCTCTTGTCCAGACTTAACCATATTTTTACACTTATAAAAGCCATGAGTGGCTTGGAACTGTTGTGTCTTCCAAGACATGCCCCTTACTTCATACTTCATGATGGGTGACATGCCCCCATGTCCAGGTTTAGCCAGACTAGCATGCTTATCATATGCATGTGTGGCTTGGATTTCATATGGCTTCTTGGACATGCATTGTCCATACTTGGCCAAATTTTTAAATCCACAATAACTTTTTATGGGTTTCTCACGTAGTGACTTGTTAGATATGCCCTCGTGTCCACTCGAAGTGGTTGGAGGCATGCCCCCCTTTCCATACTTAGCCAAATTAGTATGCTTAGCACAAGCATGTGTTGCTTGTGATTGGTGTAGCCTCTTAGACACCGCATGCCCCCCAGACGGACATCTCGGGTTCAGCTTGTGGGAAGTTAGACTTTCATGCCCCCCTTGCCGAGCTCTATGCGTTTTGAGTCCATCAGAATCGCCTCCTTGCATACTCCATAGGGGTGGCATTGGGGGCTGGCAAGCAGGTGGTGGTACTTGGTCCACATTGAATGGATCTTCACCATCTCGTCCATTGACAAGTGTCTCATCTGATCTTGCCTCGAGAACAAGAGGTTGAACATCACCTTGTACATGCAAGACCCCATGATTGGTGTTCAAAGTGGAGGTGGACCTCTCACCATAACTATCACATTGATGGAGTGGTTTGCTTGCCACTGGAGGTGACAAGCTCTTCTGCCATAGTTGGCCATTCTGGTCATTATCAGAAGAGTTTGTACCATCTAGTGGCAAATCTCTTGATTTAACCACTTGCTTTATCAAAAGGTGTTTCAAATCATTGAAATCATCATTATTTTTGTTAATCAACTCTATAAGTTGACTTAAACGATTATCTAGATGAGAAGTGAGAGATGCTAGGCGGAGGCTTACTTGTTGGGCACCACGATGAAGGCCGACTAGGCATCCCTCCAAGGGATAACGATGTTCCTCCATGGCACGGACGTTCTCCACCCTCAACATGCGGTTCTCCTCCATGGCTTGACGGTTTTCCGCCATCATCTTGCGGTTCTCCTCCAAGGCTTGACGATTCTCCACCATCATCTTGCGGTCTTCCTCCAATATTTTGTGAAGTGACTTGATGTTGGTGGTTATATCAACACTTGGTGCCGCCGGTGATAAAGTCTCCACCACGCCATTGTTTCCGGCAACATCCTTCATCTCTTGACCAAATTCAAACTTAGCCACTTGCTTCATCACAAATCCAGGTGAGAGATCACCTTCTTGTTGCCTCTGTCTTGGAGCCATCAGATCAAACACAAGGTCCCACCAGGTGTGCCAAATTTGTTTTCCGGCGAGAAAACTTCTTGTGTTGAATTGAGATGGATTGCACCTTTGACTTCTATGGAAAACGATTTCTAAGACACGGCTCACACCTCTTCAAACAAAGTTCGAACGAGGGTGTTCGATTGATGGTTTTTTGGGAACGAGATCTAAATTAAATTACTTCTACTCCTATGGAGGTTCGGCGAGAGCTCCAAACTACGAACTACATCTATGGCTACATGATAGAGAAAAGGTAAAGGATAAACTTGACATGTGTGTCAGAGTGTTTGTTTTGGAACCTTTGTCTCTGTCGACCCCTCCTCTTATTTATAGCCCCGAGGAGGTAACCGCCATAGAAAACCGTTTGTTGGATAACTGCTACAAAGAACCGCTCCCCCTTCTTCGGTAGAAAACCGCCTCTTGGATAACTCCCAAAAAGAACCGCTCCTTGCTTCCTCGGAGTGGTGGTTACTCCTTCAACCGCCTAGGGGCTTCTCTTGTAACCGTCGTGGGTCTTGGAGTGTAACTTGCCTCGCCTGGTCTTGTTCTGAATCTCGTGTCATGCTAGTCTTTTGATAAGCATGTGGTGTCTCACAAAGGGGGTCGTGGTCTTCTTGCTTCGCGGCCATGGACTTCTCATTCATGTCCATGGCCTTCTTGTCTTACGGCCATGAACTTCTTACTCATGTCCATGGCCTTCTTGGGACTTAGTCACTAGTGATATAATGCTCCACCACCACGACCTTCTCATACGTGTCCATGGCCATCCTCGTGAGGTGGCATGGACCTCTCAATCATGCACAAGGCCCCTCTCATGAGGCGGCATGGCCTTTCCAAACTTAGTATTTTCAATCATTTCTAATGCTTCTTGCTTCGCGTCCATGGTCATCACATGACACGACCATGGACCTCTTAATCATGCACATGACCCTTCTCGTGAGGCGGCATGGCCTTCTCAGACTTAGAATATTTTCGGTTGTTTGGTTTAGATCATGAGGCGGCATGGCCTCTTTATTCGCGGCCATGGACTTCTCATTCATGTCTGTGGCCCTTTCTGTTGGACGACATTGGCCTGCTCATACTTAGTATTTTTCACGTGTCCTCTTGTCTCGCGTCCATGGCCGTCACGTATGACACGGCCATGGACCTCTTAATCATCCACATGGCCCTATATTCTCATACTTAGAATATTTTTATCGCACCGGGTCTTCATTGAGGTGGCATGTACCTCTTCCAGACTTGGTTAAATTTTCACTCATTCGGCCTTATTGGTGAGGCGGCACGGCCTCTCCGTTGATTTAGTAGCTTGGGCTTAAAATCAATATCCATAAGGCCCAACTTAAACAACATTAATTGTTATAATGGGTGTGGCCTTATAAACTCATTAATTATCTTGTAACTCACCAATGTGGTACAAGACAAAAATGTATAGTGTAAACAGTTGTGCCAAACGGTAATGATGGATTAATGATCATGTAGTATACCGGCGGCCACTACCACACCAATTAGACAAAGCCAAGCAAAATCCAAAAACTTGCGTTAATTCTTGATGCCAATTCTTCTTTGGCAACAACATCAACATATGCTAATGATGAATCTATAGAAGAAAAGCATCATGTCCAAACAAACCTTAACAAAACATTTTTTACAATAAAAATACTTAATATTGCGTGAGAAGAGAAAAATTAATTATGCCATCTCACTTAAACTCAACTATAAACAGGTTACCTCTTCCAAGAATGGATATTTCCTAGTTCGATTTACAAGTGGCATCGACTATGAGCGAGCGATCACGGGAGGACCCTGGCTGGTGGGTGATAACTACTTGACAGTTCACCAGTGGACACCGGATTTTGACCCTTACGAGCATGAGATTTCATCCACACTCGTTTTGGGCTAGGCTACTGGACATCCCCATCCACTACTTCCATCCGGTGGCCGTTATGAAGATTGGGAGCCGCATTGGGAAACCTGTTCGTGTGGATCAGGCTACGAGCACGGGAGCTAGGAGCGACTATGCTAGGGTTTGTGTTCAAGTTGACATTAAAAACCCCCTCCTCTCCAAGTTCACGATTAATGGGAAGAAGTACTTCATACAGTATGAAGGGCTTGAGAAAATCTGCCTCCAATGCGGGACGTATTTTGACCGTGCCCGTTGCTATTGCACTGCCAACATGGAAACGGAGGAGCACAATACGGAACCGGAAGTCCTCACTCCGACGGAACCTCACTCTGGCCAAGATAAAGACGCTACCTATGGTGAGTGGATGATTGCGAAAAGGAAACCACGTAGCCGCCAACAAATTGCGTCGCGAGGAACTGCGGGAGGAAATGATGCTCATCAACAAGGGGAAATGCAGGGGGCTCACGGTATAGGGTACTTGATGTGGAAGAACCCAAGGGAACTCCCTCTGCTCCGACCCAGACAACCCGTGGCCCGAGTGATACGACTGCTAATGAGATGAGGCAAGGCAATGAGCAGACCCAGCAACCGAAGAAAGACAAGGCTTTGGGGGAGCAATCAAAACGTGGGAAGCAGGGAGTGCCCGACCCAGCTAGACCGGATAAGACTTTGGGCGTGGTCAGCTCAAGGAAGGCGGATCATCTTCGACGGGAGGGCACTGCCCTAGTGCATGCTACTGCTCCCTTGACGTGTGGCTCTACCATGCATGTCCATGAACGTCGGGACGAGACCACTGTTAAGGGAGTGAGTTTTAATGATGGGGATGCAACTACCTCGGATCCAGGCCACCTCACCAGACCGCCAGATCCGTCCGGGGCCTCCATACAGGATCGAATTCCCCCGGCTTCCCCTCATGTGAATACTACGTCCGATCCGACTGTGATACTGCAGGAGAACCCCAGCATGGGGGACACTCCTGCCTAGCTTAATGAATGCGAGCATCTGGGACCTACCTTCCATGTCTGTTTAGATGATCGATACAAACATTTTTACGTGGAATTGTAGGGGAGCGGGGAGCAAGCGTTTCCTGCGGGTTTTCAAAGAGTACAAGAGGAAGTATAAACCGGGAATTACAATTATTGTGGAACCACGAATCAGTGGTGACCGAGCAGAGAAGGTTGTTCAAAGCATGGGGTATGACAGCAAAATTATAGTGGATGCGACAGGTTTCTCGGGAGGAATTTGGTTGCTGTGGGATTCATCGCTAGCCACGATCACGTCGGAAGACTGAGCATCCCAGTTTATCCATGCCAAAGTGGTTATGGGTCAATCAACGTGGTTTTTCACTGCTGTGTACGCCAACCCTGCCCTAGTGCAAAGACGGGAGCTTTGGCATGCTGTTCGGGGAATAGCTGAGACGATGGGGGATCCCTGGCTGATAGCTGGTGATTTTAACTCTATTTTGCAACCAGGTGATAAGAGAGGAGGAGCTGCTTTCGACATCAACCGTGCCCGAGAGTTCCAGGACTGTGTTTTAGACGCGGGGTTTACGGGGCCACCGTTCACCTGGTTTAAGATGGGGGTTATGGAAAGGCTGGACAGAGGTCTTACAAATGCATTGTGGGCAGGCGAGTTCCCGAACACCACCGTCCATCATCTACCTCGGATTAAGAGTGATCACCGACCGCTGCTTATCAGACTCAACCCGATCTACCAACCGGCGGGTCCCAAACCATTCAAGTTTCTTGCGGCTTGATTAACTCATGAGGGGTTCTTCGACATGGCCAAGCAGGCATGGGACCGAGGTACCGATTTTGCTTCTTCTGCGGCAGCCTTTGTGGCCGATGCAAGCTCGTGGAACAGGTCGGTTTTTGGACACATCATTAAGAAGAAAAACTCCCTGTTGAGCCGCATTGAGAGCTTAGAGACCAAGGTTGGTAATCAATTGGTGGAGGAACAGTTGAAGCAAACTAGAGAAGAGCTCGAAACTATGCTTCTCCAAGAAGAACTCTTATGGTGCCAAAAATCGAACTTGGATTGGGTGGCTCTAGGAGATCGCAACACCAAATTCTTTCACAACCGTACCATTAACAGAAGACGGAGGAATCGGATCACAGCTTTGAAGAATGGTGCGGGGGAGTGGGTTGATAACCAGCAGGCCTTGCTGGAGCTTGCTCGGTTGTTCTTCACCGACCTGTATACTGATGATGGCCAGCCGACTACTTCAATCCCGGCAGCCTTTCAACAGCTGCAGGCTTCTCTCTGGCTGCCGCTGTCCGCTCCCATTTCCCATGCCGAAGTTCTAAGTGCAGTACGAGCTATGGGCGCTTTGAAAGCACCGGGTAAAGACGGGCTGAATCCTATCTTTTATCAGCGATGTTGGGACTTTATTGGTTCGGCGGTAGTGGATTTTGTTCAGGCGTGCTGGGATCAGCCCTCCCGTATCAAGGAAGTGAATGCGACCATTCTGGCACTGATACCAAAGACGGCTCGGCCTTCTCAGATCGAACAGTTTCGACCCATTAGCTTGTGTAATGTGAGCTACAAGATGATTACGAAGTGTCTGGCTGAAAGACTCAAGCCGCTAATGCCTGCACTGGTGCATGAGACGCAGACGAGCTTCGTCCCGGGAAGACATATTACTGACAATATCTGTGTTTTGCAGGAGGTGGTCCATTCGATGCGAGCTAAGTCGGGTAAGGTTGGTTGGATGGTTCTTAAAATCGACCTTGCCAAGGCTTATGATCGCATCAAATGGAGCTTTGTCAAAGATACACTTCTTGCTGCAGGAGCCCCTCAGCAGTTCATTGACTTGACGATGAGCTGTATTACGTCGGCGACCATGCAGATTCAGTGGAATGGGGGTATCACGGAGGCATTTACACCTTCGAGAGGGCTCCGACAGGGCTGCCCCCTCTCTCCATACCTGTTCACCTTATGCATGGAGAGATTGGGCCACCTGATCTCTGCGGCAGTGGAGGAGGGGCGATGGAAGCCGATCCGGCTGTCAAACCCAGGTCCGAAGCTTTCCCACCTTTTTTTCGCTGACGACCTAATCCTTTTCAGTGTGGCGTCGCAGGAACAAGTTCAGGTGATTTTGCAGTGCCTGGAAGAGTTTGGAGCAGCCTCGGGGCAGCAAGTGAGCCGACCGAAATCCCGAGTTTATTTTTCGAAGAATGTTGCCGCCCCGGTCAGAGTGGAGATCAGCCGAGCACTGGATATTCCGGAAACTAAAAACTTGGGACGGTATCTGGGAGTACCTGTGATTCATGACAGGGTTTCCAAAGCCACCTACACAGAGCTCATCGACAGGATCGATTCTCGTCTGGCTGGGTGGAAAGTGAAGGCTCTTTCTATGGCGGCACGGATTACTCTGGCTCAGTCTGTGCTCTCTTCCCTGCCGGCTTATACAATGCAGACGGCGCTTCTTCCCGCCTCAGTTCGTGAGTACATTGATCGGAAGATAAGGGGTTTTATTTGGGGAAGTTCGGAGCAAGGCAGGAAGATACACCTTGTTGACTGGGACACTATTTGCAAGCCGAAGGAAGAAGGAGGTCTGGGACTACGCACTGCGTCGAGAATGAATGACGCTTTCATGATAAAAATTGCATGGCGCCTTATCACTGAGCCGGAAAGTTTATGGGCAAGAGTTGTTCGGGGGAAGTATGTCAGGGAAACGGAGAGAAGTTGGCAACCACGAGTCTCTGGCCGATTATCTAACCTCTGGAGAGGTGTTTTGCGAGTACTCCACTATATGCCGGAGGGCACCATATGGAACATTAGAAGTGGTATGCAGACCCGATTTTGGTCGGATGTGTGGTTGCAGGATGGTCCGCCGCTTGAGAATTTTGCTGTAAACCTCCCGGCAGAAGCTAGAGACTTGATAGTAGCAGAGATGGTCCTGAATGGCCATTGGAATTTGGATTTTGTTCGCGCCTTCCTCCCGGAACCGATGACTGCACAGTTACAGCTCCACCCGGTACCCTTCGAGGAGGGCCCGGATATCCCTCTATGGAGGCTGTCTTAGACTGGTAAGTTTACGTTGAGGACGGCTTATGACCTCACGAGGGATGATGGGGATGAGGCTCAACACAACCCAACTTGGAAGGCTGTTTGGAGAATCCCGGGGCCGCAGAGAACAAAAACGCTCTTCTGGCTGGTGCTGCACGACCGGTTGCTCACAAATGCAGAGCGGCTCCGACGACACTTGGCGAACTCGGATCAGTGCACTATATGTGGAGGAGGGCCGAAAACTTTTATTCATGTCATGCGTGACTGTGCATATGCTCGGGATGTATGGTCGCATTTTCTTGCCGATGAACCCGATCGGGTTTTATTCCAGACGGACATCCCCCGCTGGGGATTCCACTACTTGATGGACCAAAGCCCCGTCGTGGATGCCTCTACGTTCGCACTGGTTTGCTGGCAGCTTTGGCAGAACCGGAATACTTGGGTTTTTGAGAAGAGATTGGTGGCGCCCATGCAGCTGGCTGGTCGGATAAAACAGCTTTGTAGCCAAGTCTCGCTGGCTTTTAAGGCGTCACAAAGTGTCACAGGATGTGAGAGCAAGAGGAGCACTCAGCTCATCAGCTGGAAACGCCCGCCGTCAGGTTGGGCTAGCCTGAACACAGATGGTTCCGTGCTCCTTTCCCAGAACAAAGCTGCGGCAGGCGGTGTGATAAGAAGAGAAGATGGGCGAATGTTGCGGGCTTTCTCTGTGAACCTGGGTGGTGGGTCGATCACCCATGCAGAATTGGCGGGCATCGATCAAGGCATGCGTCTCGCTTGGGAGATGGGGATCAGGAAGCTTGCAGTTCAGACTGATTCGGCGACGGCTATCTCGTTAATTCAGGAGGATCCTTCGAGCCATCCTCACCGGATGCTTGTGAAGTCCATTCGACGGTCCCTGTCCCTAGAGTGGGAGGTTACTATTGATCATGTTTTTCGGGAGGGTAACTTTGTAGCGGACTTTCTGGCTTCCCGGGGTCACGCACTTCCAGTGGGTTTTCATGTGATTGATGTTCCTGACCCGACCCTGGGTCATTGGCTGTACTTTGACACTATTGGGGTCCAAACCCCTCGTTCGATCATTAATTAAGGGTTGGGGCGCCCCCTAGCGCTCCGTTTGCTACCAAAAAAAAAACTCAACTATAAAGAAGATGGTCATGTCTGGATTCTTAATTTTCGATGTAGACGATACACTATAATTTAATTAAAATCATGTTAAACCAGAAACATTGTGACATCTCATTTAACTAAACTATCAACAATTTTGACGGTCTACAATGTTAGAGAGTGGTATAAGATCCAGCAGAACCTTCTCTCAACAACTCAAGTTATTGTGAGCAACTGGTTCTTGACATGGTATCAGAGTCTGTTTGGCCAAGTGGTCGTGTCTTCGAATCTCCACGACCCCAATATTTAACCCTTGATTAAAGCACGACGTATGCTGGACCTGTGCAAATTTCAAGTCCATGGATTGGCTTTTTGTTCTCTCGTTTAAAACTTAAATTGTTTTTTTCTGCGAACAAGAATTTGACTTAGTGATAATATCACTAGTTTTAAATTTTAAAATCTTAGTTTCGAATCCTTAAATAATGTCTACATAATAAATAAAAGCCGAATGATGAAAACTGTTGCTCCATTTCAAATTTCCTGCAACGAGAGTGATTATAGGAAGGACATTTTGGTCTTCACAATTGTTTATTTTCTTATTTATTTAAAATAAAAAAGGCATGCACTGGGATTTGAACCTTGGTCTCTTTAAAGGCAAGCAAGGATCATAACCAATCACACTAAGTATATTTATTGTATCTATTTAAATTCAAACATACACGAACCTAAATTATGAAAATCATATGACTTTTTTAACGATTAGTTGACTGAATCTCCCGTAAGTACTTATTTGGTGTTTTAATACTTTGATTATTTTAGTTTTAGTTTAATACTTAATTTAAATTTCTATCTATTTTATAAATATACAATAACCCTAAAATTGCAGGCCAAATATCACTGGTTCGAATATTGCATATCGAATTGCAATATTAAACATGTAGAAGCAATATCGACTTCTTAAATTAATATTATTTTTCAGAATTACTATGGAAAAATTATATCTTTGTGCAAACTATATGAGACTGGTTCTTTTAATGTTTTAGTCGGGATAACCGCTACATTTTAAACTTCTTCATAATCTGGCATGATTGGATCCAATGATCATTATACAAGATTGTGTTTAATAGGGTGGCTCATTTCACCACTTTTTGGCGTGTTAATGAATTTGTAGGACAATGACAGGTCTACATCTACACTCGTCACAATCTACACATCATATAAATGTGAAATGTGAAATCAGAAAAGAGGGATTCCATTTCAAATTTGATGCGTACAGAGCAATTTTTTAGGGGTAAATTTAGAAGATGCCAGTGCGGTCGGTCTGTTGAGCACGAAAGTAAAAATATGTTTTCATTTAAACGGGCCCAAAATGTTATTTGGCCCACTAATCGTGCACCCATCGCCAATGCAGTCAAATTCGGGATTTTGATCTTAAAATCGTAGGATTTTAGGATTTTACTTAGGGATTCCGATCTTGATTTTACTATAAAATCGGTGGACCATTAAATCGTTTAAAATCGGGACTAAAATCGATAAAATCGTAAAATAGTACCGAAATCGGGATTTTGATCGTAAGAGAACAAAATAGGTGGTTTGAATCAATTTAAAATAAGTATAAGTGTCTCAGCGGAAAGGGCAATGGAATCTTCTCATATATTTTTGTATTAGAAAAATATTCAAAAATAATAAAAATAATCAAATTAGGGTTCGGTTAATCTCTTTCCCTTCACCCCATTTAACTTATTGGTAAAACACTTGTCCTAATATTGGAAGTATGTAAGAACTAACATCATTATTAACTAATTAATTTATTAATGAATATATTTCTACCAAGCCACTAACATTACTTATTTTATTGGAGTTCAATTATTTTTAGTTTTAAATCATACTTAGTAGACGATGTCGAAATATTACTTTGAGTTAAACAACCTAGACATAACATGAAAATAAGAGCCAAACCCATGAACTATATCCCTTCATCACGAATTATTTTGAGTTACACATTAAATAACAATTAAAATAGTGATTTTCGAACATTAATCTTGAGAATTATCTTATGGAAAAAAAATCTTCTGAATTATCATTTTAAATGCTATGTGTCTTTGTGATATTAATAATTTACCTTATTAATATTCTTATATGCTATGTTCTATATGGTACTTAAAATCCTACGATTTTACGATTCGATTATACGATTTTGATTTTACCCCAGTTTTCGATTTTAGGTAAAATCTCGATTTTAACTGCTTTGCCCATCGCAGCCTCTCCAAATCTTCCTATTCTACTCGCCGGGTCATCTCCTCCACTACAAAATATCTCCTCATGTACTCAAAGTTCTCACTGAAACCTAATATCTACAACTTAGGCGCAGAGGGAGCAACCGATGGATTGTAGCGACCCCCACTATTTTGATAGCTAATCAAGAAGAGCGCGTTTGTTTAGTTGTATGGTGATTCACTTAATTAACAATTTTTATTCCGTTGACAGCCTCCTCTCCGCAATTGTATTATGTTCACGAAGATCTGAAGGCGCAAGTGCAACAGGTCCAGGGGTAAACAATATGTATAAAGCGTTGGCCAAATTGAATTGAGTCATTCTACTTGGAATATGAAGATTTTTGCTTAATTGCTTTGGTTCGTGATGCAACTATGTTATGTTTGAAGGTAGATCAACGCAAACAACAGCACAGCTCCAGGGCTATTCTGCACATTAGGTAGTTGGGGCATTAATTGATAATTATTTGGGATTATTCCTACAAGTACATAATTTGGAACGTGCCATTATATTGCATTGATTAATAGTTGTTTGAGATTTTTCAAATGAGTGATTTGACATGTTAAACTCTCTTATTTTTGAAAATGGAGTCTTCGAAGTGGAATATGAAGATTTTGGATTAAGCTTGGTTTCGTAACGCCCTTATGGGTGTTTATTCTCTAAAATGCAGCTGTCTTTCAAAGTGCCCGTTGCAAATGGCAAGTCAGGATACAACGATGGTACCGGTACACGTTTATATCATTAGTTAACGAAAACTTAATGATTGGCTAATAATTTGTATTTCGATAGTTGTGGCTATAATTCCCCGCTGCTTAATAGTTATGGCTAATATATTGTATTTGCACTATTTAATTTGACAAGTTGTTTCGTCCATGATTCTTGGTAGTTTCAGTACCATTCTAGCCAATGTTTAGTCTGTAATTTTTGAGAATTGATGTGCGAGTAATGACTTTCACTTAGCTTCAACTATTATGTGTGTATTTATTGGCATGTGATAGAATTCTCTTTTCCTTTTCATTGAATTCATTTTCATACTCTAATTGTATTATTTGTACATAGGCAAATCATGCTCGAGATGACAACTCGCTGATATGGCTGGTGCAAGGAATGAAGCCATCATTAGAATTCAGACCGACAACGGGGAGGGATGCCTAGGACTAATTCAATGATGATTGATGATGGTATAATAAAAACTGCAGTCTGCATCAGCACCAATTTCTAGGCCTAAGTAAAGGTATTCAACCCAGAACTCTGCTTAGCGCTAAAAATTGCCCTCACCCAACCTTGATCCTGTTTGACCCACTTCTGAAGAGTCAAGATATATGACTAATCCTTCCCGTTCGTATTTTCTTATTGACTCTTTCTGACCCTGTAGGTTGGGGCGGGTCGGGAAGAATTGGATTAGTGGGTCGGTCCTAATCAAGTGGAATCTCAATCCCTTCACTCTCACTTGCTTTCTCTCCCATTCCACAAGTGGGTAACATACAGTAATCCGGCCAACGGGCCGGGTAATAAGCTAGTTTAGCTATAAAACAATCAAATGAAGTGAGATGCTTGTTAGCCATATATATATGCCCATTCCCCAAGTTATCTCCAACACCAATTCCAGCTCTTAAATTCTTTTATTGAATTTGCTTCATTATAGATACCATAGAAAGTATGGGACCCTGTTAGTTAGTTGGTTAATAATAAGTGATTCTTGATTGCAGTTCACACGATTCATTGCCTCACAATTAGTCATGAAGCTGCTGGTGAAAGCGACGATGGCCATATCTACACGATATGAAAGTGAAGACAAGTTTAGAGGATTTAGCCTATTTCAAGTAAATGTACCCAGTGGCGTAGTCAGAATTTTATTCAAGGGGATTTCATAAAAAAAATACACATGTGGTCTCATGTTATATATTGTGAAATCATTATATAAATATATGAATTGACCAAACTATCCAGATTTCACATTTAATATATCCCACCGAATAACCATTCACAATTTTAGTTCACTAGATGTGAAGGTTGATCAATCGTTTCATAGCATAAAATGTTATCGACTTGTGTATTGACAGATGATAGTAGCAAATCAAATCTATTTTCACAAGCAAATACATTGATAGGAACTAATTTTCATGTAGAAATTAGTAGATGAAATTAATTTATTCGATTGTTGTGATTTAACGATAGAAGATTTGACGATTGACATTAAAATTTAGAATTTAAATTCATCATTAACTAACTAATACTACTAATATTTTGCGCTTTCTCCAAATTTAAGGGGATGCCATTATACCCTAGCTACGCCCCTGAGTGTACGTGCCTTGGTTTACATTATGTAGGGAAGCTCTCATGGAAGCCGCCTTCTTCATAGCGATTTATCTGCAACTCGAACGGCTATGTTCATTCGGACCATTGCTACAACCGGTGATCTTGATTCGATATCTTGTAAGGTCTTGATTTGCAGTTTTTTTGGAAGGTCGGGTATTGAGTTTTCGACATGTATTGGGCTCACTGTCATCCCTACTTGACGTGATGTCAACTATAGCTCATTTGGTGTGAATGGAGAAATTCAATAAGCTGAAAATTTGAGAGTTAGGCCCAACAAAAACAATGTCACCGACTCAACGACGTGAACACATCATGGTTGGTTGTGAAAGTTGGAGAAATGAAGAAGGTTGTGACCAGATAAATGATAGGGTGAATGATTTTATGGTTTGTTTCAATCACGTTTCGATCTATGTTAGAGGGTTTCGACCCTAAGCAACATCTCTTCTTCGGCGGTCCTCCCATTTAGGTACTTGTTGTTTCTTTCTTAATTTAGTTTAGTCTCAATTGGTTGGTTAAAGCATACCACATTTGATTAACCAGATATTGCTTCGCAGTGAAGTTATAGTACACTAAAGAATATCGAGGAATACGACTTTAAAAACCACTATGCTATGTTGTTTGGCTAAGGTGTGCTTGTCTTGGCCAAACATGGTTGTAGAACCGCATCACCCTTGCACTAGTTTGACAAAATGTAAAACAAACCACCACTTTGGTGGAAACAATCCAAGCGTAATTAGGGATGTCAATCAAATCCATGGTCGCGAGTATCTGATCGCTCCTAACCCAATCAGCGTGGGGCATTCCCACTTTGATTGGGTGTGGGATGGGTATAGATCAAACCCGCAAAAAGTTTGATGAGTATGGGGTGAATATGGTTTTAGCCTCCCCGTTTTCCATACCCGCCCCACCAAGAGAATTTATTCACATATAAAAAAAAATATGTGGATCAAATTGTAACCTATCAATGATAATGAAGTCAACTCGATAAAATAAATAGTAAAAATGCAATTGAGTGGACACCATAATCAAAACCTAAGTCATTTTCCTCAATGCTTTCTTCACTCTTTCACTTCCCTCTTATCAACAAGATTATGTTAATTAATTATTACTTAGTAGATATATCATAGTTAGAGCATATAATTTGAAAAATATTGTACTCTATATTATTATTATTATTATTATTATTATTATGTATCAATTGGATGTTTTGGATCATATTCTTTGGACCATATTAATAAATGATTTTATTTTGTTGACTTCATGATATAATAGATTCAGTTAGTGTCATAATTAAAAAAATTTATTGTAAAGTTGTAGGTGTAATAATGTTGGATGTACGGAGGTATTACTCATGGGTACTCAAAACCCACGAGCATGGGATGAATTTTTATGGATATAAGACGGTTATAAATTTCGATATTTGAAAATAGAAATGAGGATAATCTAGATAAACCCGCCCATTTCCATTACTACTAGCATACATTTGGCAAAGAAGCCAATGGTTAAGATTATTCAGCTAAATGGGCTCAATAGCTCTCGGAGACTGAAAATGGGAAGCCCATAGAGTTAATTTATCAGATTTCGATAGATAATGGGCTTGTGTAAGCCTATATAGGGCACCAGTTCTAATCCGGTCCATTTTACTGCCGCGTTCCGTTTAGACACATCCGACCCGAGTCAAATATACCTCACCTGAGTCACCTGGCAGAATTGACCAAACTGCTCTGGTTGTATCGTTATGTCTAATTTTTATTCAAATAATATTCAGATTTTTTTATTATTCAAACTTATCAAAATTTTATTAATTGGCCAATTTTTTCGTAATGCATCAAAATATTGTTCATTTTTACGTTATTATTAATAATTTTGTAACTCTTTTTCTTAGTTAAAATACTAAATTTTTGGTATGTTAACCTTCACGTGTCTCTTTCAAGACAATATCATATTGTCAAGTCAATATTACTAACAAAATTGCTAACTGAAAGTTAACATTTCGCTAATCCTTAGCGTTTTGATAAATTTGTCTAATAAAAAAATCTGAAAAAGGTTTGGCTAATAAATAGTCATTGAACTAGAATTTTCTGTTTTCGAGGATAAAAAAACAGTGATTTTTTTTTATGAAATGAGGGAGAAATGGACTTTCGTGCTGGGCTGGGCTGGGCTGGTCCACCCGGCCCACAATGAGGTTTGTTTTCCTTAGTTGATCTTCCACTCGCCAAACAATTAAAACTTTTTTGTTCCTAAATTGGCTAATTACCAGTTCCACTTTCTTCTTCCCCTACCCTCTTCTTCCGAGAGCTCTCCATCACCTGCATCTTTTCGCCAAAAACCCTCTGCAAAACTCTCTCTGATGACAATTGCCCTTTCCCTCCTCCATTTCCCTTCCTCCACTGCTCGCCTCGACGCCTTCCCTCTCTTCTTCCTCTCCGCGCCCCACCTCCTCTGAACATTCCATTCCCGCCGCCATCAGGACGCTCTTCTTTCCGGTAGAGGCGCCTCGGAATCAAACTCCTCCCTTGGTTCTGGGTTCCCTTTTCGTGGACAGGGATTGATTGATGTCCATTTTTAATTCTTGATGATTCCGTTGGCGAGCTCGGTCAAAGGCATTTCGTGGTGCCTCGTTCACCTCTTCAGCTTGGACTTCAGTTTCCTGGGAGTTGTGTCTGATCTGCTTTCGGATCTCCGTGGTATTGATTTTTCCGAGTTCTGGTCAGTTTTATCTACCGCCCACTTCCTGTTCGGAAGAATTATTTGAGTTGCTTCTCTCTCTTTAGTCTTACCGTTTGGCTCCCAAAACCTTGGGGTGGTAGGTGCTAGGGTTTGATGATCGGATTTTAGATGGATCGTCATTTCCGTGTCGATTATTAGCTGTTTAGAGCTCTTTTGAGCTGCAAGGTTGTTGATTCTGACGCTGCCGGAGTTATTGCCGAATTTGGCCCGTTTTGTGGCTTTTGTTAGGTGATCACGGTTAGAGGCGGCCCTATTTGTTTGTTGAAGCGTGTATCCTTTACGCTAGTGGAGGGGCTGAGGGAGGGTTACCCTTTTCCGATATTACTTGAGAAATCAATATTTGGTTTCATTTTAGGAGATGGGGCTCATATCCTTTCCTGTGAAAATGAGCAACCATCAGCTATGTAATTAGTGTTGTTGATAGGTTTCTGGTGCTTTTTAAGGTAGTAATCGTACTGCCTGCAAAAAATGAGTGCAAAAGATAGGTTTTTTGTGGAATGGAAAGAACAATTTGTTTCACAAGAGCGTGGAAACCGCGTGGTTCACTATTTCCTGAAAGATTCTGCTGGGGAGTCCATACTGGCGATTGTGGGTACTGAGAGGAGTGTTAGACACATGTTCTATGTCGTTGCTGAGGAGTTTGTGCAAGCTTATGGTGCTGAAAACGCGATTCATACTGGCTTTAAATGGAGGTCGAGGAGAGAGGTTGTAGATTGGCTTACATCTATGCTATCAAAGCAGAATGTACAAGGGGATCATTCCAGTACGTATTTCGTATATCGGTCTATTTATTCCCTGCATTTTTAGGGGTTGGGTGTCAAATCTACTAAATATGCTGATTCATAACAAGTTGTGATTCTCTTGGCTTTTCAAATCTTTGAGCTGGGCTATGTGTGTGGCAGATTTGCAAAAATGTGATCTAGGACAAGCTTTGGAATCACAAGACTTTCCTGTGACTAGTTCTGGTGGACAACATATGCAGGTACCATATTGAAAGTTAACTCAATACTCTTTAGCTTGCTGTGCGAAATTCCTTGATGTCTGTCTTGCATGTCAATTGCAGGGCCGACACTTGAGGATTGTGAATGGACATCGTTCAGAAATCGTATGGTCTGGAGTTGCTTGGACTTGTGGGAAACAGCTCAAGCATTTCCCAGCATTTTGCAGGAATGGAACAACTATGGCAGTAAGTATACATTCTGAAATTACTAAGTGAAGATTGTGAAGAATTACCCTTGAATCTGCAAGTCAATTGAAACGATCTCTTTTTATTAAACTGAAGCAATTTTACATCAACTCTTTGTCTAAGGTGTTACACTAGATGTTTGGTGCATGTTTTTATTTCGGTGAACCAGCGAACTGGCAAGAGCTTTCATCACTCGCGAACTGACCCAAAGCCTTGAGCTTTATAGTGAAATCTGAAACTGTGTCATTCAAAAGAAGATCAAGAAGGGAATGATTTACTATTTCAGTTACATTTCGGAATTCAAAGTTTCACTCATTGCAAATGGCACTTCTGAAAAATATGTAGTCTATGTGTTTCTATCATTGGTGAACTTAATACGTCTCATCAAAATCTGTCCATCTATGGCGTGTTTGGGACCA